ATTTCGATTTTTACAGACATGTACGTGAAAATAATTTTTTGAGATAAAAATAGTGGTTTAAATTAAGTTTAGAATACAGTAATTTTTATTTAATAGACCTTTCACTATCTCATAAAAAAAAAAATACTACATGAATCATATTTTTTGAAGATTCAAATATCTCAAAGTATGTCCTTGATTTTAAGACGACAACTTGGGGAAAGGGAACCAGAGAAGTCGATGTCAATTGAGCTAGAGAATATTGGTCTGAAGCACGCCAAGTCAGACTTATAGCTCATTGGTTTGAATGAAACTCATAGTGTTATAAATAATATGGTAAGATAAGACATATTCTTTGGTTGAAAAGTGAACAGAAATAAAAAAAAAAAATATTTGTTATTATGTAAAAGTCACTAGAACTTTTTGTATAGTACATATTTGTATATTGCAACATAGTAACCAATTTGTAGCAGACTGGGTGTACTGACAATATATAGTCAGGATATCTTGCTCAGTTTGACCTAAATTAGGGGAAACAACCTGTTCCTCACAGCGAGCAGAACAACACACAATAACAGAGGTAAGGATCTACTCGATGTGCCATTCTGAAGGCTTTTTAAGAAGAAGAACTGCTTCCCGATACTAACAATGCAACTGTTCAATACTTTGACTGTTAGTATAAAGAATCTAGATCCGTGAAAGTTAAAAAAAAGAAATGGCTAAAGAAACGTCCATCCATTAAAGAATTTTCCCAAGAAGGTAAAAAGCCATAAGCCAATTAATATGTAAATATTTAATTGAAGTTAGTTTTTATTTTATTTGTGAAGATTGATTGCACAGTACAAAATATTAGTTTTATTTTGACTCAGTCTATCCAGCCAGTGCTGGTCAAAGGAAAAGAAAAGAAGTACGAAGTAAGTAAGTAATGTTAGTGTTTTATAGAAACGCCAACAATGAAATCAGCTGATTTAGTAATTTAACGACCTAGAATGGTCATTCCCACTCTAGAGCGGAAACTGTGTATAACTCGGTAGGGCTTTACATATTTGAAAATTTCGTTTTAACATCAAACTACCCCGTTTTGGGGGGAGGAGGTAAAAATTTCAATACACCAAAAACTTCATTTTTAGATAATTTAAACATTTCCTGAAAATTTTAATTTTATCTCTATAATTAAAAAATAACAAGGGGTGGGCCTTTTGAGACACACGGTAGTATATTAAATTAATGAATTTTTTCCTGCAGATATTTTTGTTATATTACGCCAATAGAAAATAAGTTCTTAAATATATTGGTTTTGGTGTTCATGAAATAGGGCTGCTGATCTATTAAAGTAGTAAATGAAAAACAACTAAGCACCCTCAAATTATTATATTTTTATAGAAGTAAATTTTTTTGGACATGAGTCCATTTTCAAACTCAATTAATAGTGAATACTTATCTTTTTATTTACATTATTTGTTTTGTGTAAATAATATGGTTTTTACAGATGATTTTTTTAAAGAGACAGGACATGGACAATTTTGTTAACTATTGATCATATAATTGTAATTTCTTTTTTTCGAAAATGGGGTTTTCAAAGGAATTTTGCTATTGATAATAATTGTTCTTCAATATACATGTTTTTGATATGTATTAAAACTACCAATATATTAGTGTGACTAGTCTATTCAACTAAACTATATCCTATGATGCTGGTCTTAAGTGCGAGTGCCATACCTCCTTCATATCTTTCGAGTTTGACATAAGCTATATGTATGAGCAGGGCTACTCGACTCGTCAAGAGGAGTAGACAGACTGCCGCTTCGAATCGACCGAGTCGAGACCGACCCCACAGAGCTGCCTAGTGACAAAACTTGGAACTACAGGAGCTAACAACGCTCATAGTGGTGTCTTTGACAACAAAAACATACCAAGACTTGGTGAGTACAGAACAGATAAGTTATATTACTTCTCTGTGAGAACACATTTGACTGATGAAGAGCGGCAACCTAGCGGGAATCAATTGAACTTTGAGTGAGGGTGGCGAAACGTGACACAAGCGCTGTCTACCGGCGAAGAAAGAAAGAAGGACTGGGCTGACGTGTGCTGTTGTGGTGGTCACTTTTAGTACTACGTTTGTGGTAAGAAATTCAAAGATGTAGGTATTCCAAGGATAAGTGATTTCGTATTACATACTTCTATTTTATAGTTTTCATTCTGATAGCCCCTGGACTACGTATTAAGTCCGTTAGTGGTCAAAAATTGCGTCTAACTTCATATAATGTTGTTCAAAGCTGAGATGTTTTAAAGCTGTATGTGTAAATTATTTTAACGTAAAGCTCCGACGATATGAAGTTAAACGCAATTTAGGACTACTGGCCCGCGAGTCTTCTATTTTATTTGAGTACTAATACTGCTTAGTTACATTTAATGACGAATATCATAATTTGATGTAGGCCTACATATGTTGAAGGTGAAATGTTTCCTTTCTATTTTGAATTACAAGTTTTAACACCAGTATTGAGCTTTAAACATGATGGTGTTTTGTCTGTATCTTAACAATTTCAGTTTGTTAAAAATTAAACATGTGTTTAAGTGTGAATTATGATGTATTTAGGTATAGTTGAAGAGGTATTTATACACAGTAAGTTGTTCAGCTGCGATGCAATCCCATGGTCACTTGTAAGCCTGGCTCTCTGTTTAAAAACGAGATATTTACACACCCCATCATGAAATATAAACAAGCATTTTACATATAACTACTTTATATGTATTCATACTATGTTACACTGTGACACTGTACCCTTTGAAAATGATTTAGAACATTTAAGAAGTAGCCATGTTAACGAAATGTTTGAGTAAGAGTACCGTCCGTAATATAAAATTGAAAAACATCTTTGGAGCTGTGATTTAATGGTTTTCATATCTTATTATTTTAGTCGACTAAGGTAAAAAAATAAACTGAATTACTAAAATTTTGTATTTTTGTAAACAATTTGTTAGAATAATGTGCCCATTCAAATTACTTAACACAGTTTAAATTTCACGATTTCCTTCATGTTAAACATGTCTCTCAATGTTTAATTAAACATGTTTTGTACCAGGTAGATAATCTCAAACCAGGCGTTTAGTTTATCACTAAAAAGGAACTGATAATTGAAAATCATGTATTAAAATAACTTTCACAGTTTTATCCACACACATGTATTTTTTGTGTTGCATTTTGATTGAACAATGTCTGAGCCTATCCCACTACTTTGTCGCTCTGTTTTTGTTGGCGGAGTTCCCTTGACCCATTCTTCTTCCCCTCATACAAAATAATCTCCGCACTTACCCGCTTTCCTCACACAATTCAAAACTCCGATCAGCGCTACTACAGATTGTGTAAAAAGTAAATCCTGATAAAAGGGTTTAAAATAATTTTCCATACAAATTACCGACAAAATGTAAAACTTGTTAACAGTGCAGGGGTGTCTTCCTTATGCAATAACTTTATCCTTATAATGAAATATTTTAAATTTTAAGATGATTTTATTTTAAGATTATTCAAACCTGTACTATTATTATCAAACTTCTTTGGTCAAATCCAACTTTAAAATGCAATGTGGGAATAAATGTCTTCCAAAACCCTATAGTAGCCCTATTGTTACAAAATTACCTTTTTGTAAGCACATCGTAGCCATATTATCTTGTATATATACAAATTACACGCCACACTACATTACTTTGACGAGCTTCCCAAGCAAGGATTTAGTCCAGAAAACAGCTGTTTGCCACCAGCTTATTCAAATGGGGTTTCATTGCGTACTACTGTACTGTAATGAGTTTTACCGGAAACTAATCAGCTAATTATACTGTATTTAGTTGGCACTGAGTGGTTATGAACAAAACATAACCTCTCTCAGAGGTTATGACTAGTGATTTTTAGTCCTTTAGTTGGTGGAAATATATAAGGATTTGTATAGCTTTAGTAGTGTTGTAAACTATAGTAAACTATCGTACGTAACTCGTCCAAAATGTGTGTACCGGACTCGTATGGTAATCCCGTACTCGACTTCGTCTCGTCTCGCACGGAAACAACCACACTCGTCCGGTAAACATTTATGTTCAGGACTAGTAACGTAATATACTATTCTGATAAATCATATGTAACAGGGGAGTTCATTATCAGAAGTCATATTTTAATACAAACATTACGTTCTCTAGTTATTTTTTAGTTAGTATACATTAGGTTGGATAAACGAAATAGAATATTATAGCGATTAATTTGTACTTTTTGCATGATTGAAACGAGCTCTGACAACAAGCCTTATAACAAATAAAAACATTAGGTTTATTTTAGTTTTGTTCAACACAAAAATAATTATGTTTTCTACTTATGCATGATATATTTTGTTTTTATATGATATTGTATTTTCCAACCAAAAAATTGTCAATATAGATGTACACCTAAAATATAAAATGGTATGTGTCCTAATAATGGTTATAGTAAAAATTAAGTCGTTAAATTTAAATTTGGTATGATATATATTTTTAATGATTATAATCGGTAGAATAAACACTCTTTAAAAACTTTAACCATGTGAATAACAAACATTTAAATTAGAAATCAGTTTATTACAAATTTACTACAGTTCTTTGTGACAGAAAATTGAATACGATATATACATTATTTTTATTTGTTGCCAATCTATTTATAATATTATAACCTTGTTGGATGGACGATTTTATAATTTAACGTGTAAAAATAGAAAAAAAGATCAATTAATAAACATGTATTAGAGCAAAACTTGTCATTAACTAACACAATACGAACTAACATACGTCATGCTTTAGGTATAAGGATTCCACTATTTATATTCTAACTCTATAGGTGTTATTAATGCTTTGTATTCTAAACTATTTAAGGTTCTAATAAGATAGGGTTTTGGTCATTTGAGCCATTTTGGAACAGGTCAAAAATTACTAAAAGGGTAAATGTCTATGCCATTAGAGGGGTTTTCATGTCAGGTGTTGGGGGAAATCCAGCTCCAACTCACCTCAATCGTCCTTCTACAAGTTAGCTAAAATCAACATAGGATTTTTCAAACAAGCAATATTGGTGAAAGTTAAGTCAAGATATCCTGTTACACTATTGAGATAATAGTTATTTATTTTTGCCGAACTAAGTATCTTAAAAAAATTTTCATGCGTTTGATTTGCACCCAATCTTCATATTTTACTCAATCTATTTTCTCATAATATTTTTCGTTGAGTTTTAACGAGTGATATACATTAGATTTCATTAGTAACATGCATTCCACCAAAAGCAAAGAATACAAATATATTTTATTTTCCTGTAATATAAAAGAGATATTGTTTTGAAATCTCCGTACAGCCTCAACGTTTTACTGTCGCTCTTATACCTATTTTTTTAGTTGAAAAAAAACAACGGTAAATATAAATGATTAAAAACACTAATTAATAATGGTCCATTCGTAAAAAGTGTCTATAATGACTTCATATTTGAAATATTATAGCGGTTTAAGTAAATAATAAGTAGTACAACATAAGTAAGACTACTACAAGAAGTATCAACATAACTCAAAGTTCACTGACTGAATGTCTATAATTAACTTCACTGAAATGGGAATCACGTTAAATGTTCTAGAAGCGAATCCAATTGTCTCTGAATGGCGACTGGCAGAAGTAGATGAACATTTCTGCGAAGTGTTATACCGGGTTTCACCTTCGCTTTGGCCTCATAAGCGGTTCAAAAGCTGAACTGCGGATTGAGTCTTTAAGCCTTGAATAGCGTATTACGTAGAAAGGGTTTACGAGAACAAGTTTAAATTTTTAGTAAAACATTTTTATACAAATTATTTTTAATTTTCATACGAGAACTTATCAAAACACTGTTTAGTAGTAAGCCTCATATGTTTAATACTCTTGAGAAGGGGTTCCCTATGCCCAATGAAAATAAGATACGGATAACCCAAGATTTTTATACGACGACAGTCGTATCATATATCAAGATTTAAACGGCCTTTTAAATATTCATGAAATTTAAATTTACGAAGAGAAAGCAATAAACTTCAATTGCAGATAAAACGTAGTAGAGGGGTTGAGCCGAAGTTTACGGCCAGGATTAATACCGTTATCATGGTTGTAAAGGGAAACATAAAGACGCTTGTATCCTTAAAATTCTCAAAAAGCATTGGTCGCATTTAAATGTTATAGCTCGAATTTAAACGTCTACGAAATAAATAAGTTTTTTATTAATTTATGTTTTTGCTGTGTAATAGATATTTAAGTGAAATTAAAATCTATTTTTTTAATTTTAATGCTGTAGTTGTCAAATACGAAATAGAGAGAAACAAAAAAAATTGTAAAATTATTTGTAGAACTTTTTCCTAAAATGTAACATATATCTTTAGAAAAAAAAGATAGATATATTTCTCACGACTTTTATTACAGGAACATACAACCCGATTCAGCAAAGTATTTTTTAAATATATGTTTAATATGTTATCTAAACTGGTTTGTAATAAAGGAAATACACACTTACCATATATCAAAATAGCATTATGTTTAAAGAGTATTTGAATTTTCCGCTATTTATAAACTCTACCCATTTACTAAAACATTTGATATTTTGAAATACATTATATATTATTGATAAACACACAATCAATTTTGTCCGCTTTAAGAGCGTTAAGCGTCTTAATATCATGTTAAACATTAAGATGAGACCAAAACAGTTACTAAATCTATTGTTTTTTAAAACTAACTGTAGAAAATTTAAATTTAAAGATTGTAAATTTATGGTAAGAACATCTGAAACCCTACACTCCGGGACACTGAATCACTTAACCGCTATGGTGGGACTGGCTAGCAACATCATACAAAACCGAATACAAACAAAATGGTATTTAGTATCCTCATTTGTACCTAAGTGATACATGTGCCAAGGTAACACAGTTGTCAAAAATTAAAAAAAATTGTTTAATTAATTCTAGTTTTAAATTTTATCCTGAATCCATAGATACCAAATATGTTATTTAATAACATTTATTTGATAGATTTTTTGTCTTCTATTATAAATCTTGCACAGCTGTTTCAGTGATCGCATGACAGCGACTAAGGCTTTATATGCAATTTACCGAAAATTTTCTTTTTTCTTCGTCCGGTACATTTTTTTGACACATTTATGAACCGATTTTAATGAAATTTTTTACAGACCTTCTGTGTAAATTATCAAATAATAATAGGAAGTGAAATTACAAAATTATTGATACAACCCGAGTTTTAATTATTTTTTTAAAATTGATAAAACGACGATAAAATATTTATGTTAAAAAAAATCATAAAAAAATTATTTTTGACCTTAGAACAAAAGTGGTTCCTATTATCGTTGAGAAAGGTGTGTAAGACAATGTATGAAGATTTCAGGTTGCTAGGATACTTTTTAAAGAATTTAAGTGTACCTAAAAATGGTGAAATTAACATGGACGGGATAGGGACTACTGTGTTACTTAATGTAACAAGTTGATAGCTTCTATGTACTGACAACGACATTCTACAGTGATCACGAATCTAAGTTTTGGTTTTGCTTTGGATGGATACTGGCAAATACTACTTCCAAATTTCACTACAGTTAAATATATTTTAGAATAGTATAAGAATATTTCATATTCAGTGACCAATAATCGTCAAATTAACTTTATGCTCCACGAAGAATAATACTATTTTAGCAGTGGCGGAATAGTTTAAATTCAATATGAATACTTGTATTTGTAATGGAACGACATTTTCGCCGGTAGACTTGGCCAACCAATTGAGTTAGTGTTGAGTATTTAACCGCAAATGTATTAGATTCTGTTTACACATTATTACTTCTCAATAACTTGCAGAATCAATATATAAACAATCTTAAACTTCAAACGTTACAATAAAACCACAACAAAATATAACGACGTATTGTTTCGTAATTAAAACACAGTTGACATTAATTTTGTACTAAGAATTGTATTGGTATAAGAAAGCTCACACCGATTAAGACATGCCAATCTTATTTTTTAGTTAAGGCCGTTCCTAGAGAAAGAGTCGAGCCTGGTACAGATTGAGCCACTAAAAGTATATTGTTATGCTAATAAACCCAACTCTTAACTATGCCCAAAATACGAGGACAATTTTTGCAATTTATACCTTCATTTACCCAACAGTCTATATAGGCCCTAATATTATAATGATGGAAAAAAACTCTAGGTGTAATCAAAACGCCAATGCAGTCATACTCCATTAGAGGTTCTTTAAACTTGTTCTTGCTCAGTAAAACATCTGGGCACAGCTTGATCATGGGAGTGTCAAATTTACCATCCAAAGTCAATGTCAATCCACTTAACTGTGTTTATGGTTTAACATTCAAAGTTATTGGCCAAATATCAAAAGCTCGTGACAGTTTTAATCGTTATACCCATCAGATTCTGGATAGTGAAGTAACGAATTCCGTCTCTATGAACCAGCGATAGTAAATTCTTCATTAAACAAGATTATAGTTGTATGAACCACTCACAGCATGTGATACAGTCTAAATCTCATATTCTCATGCTTAATCTTACTGTGATAATTTAAACGACAAAAAATATGACAAATTACAGTAAGTTTCCCTTCAGTTTGCCTTAAATTGTAGAAATATTTGACAGGAACAGTAATTTTCATCAACACACACTGTTGTCGACCTACTTAATTCTTATTCTAAAACTGGCCGTAACTTTAAGATGGGAATAAAATGTCTAGTTTGATCCATTGTTTAAGCCCTTTCTAAGCAGGTTTAGCCTTGTAAAACTACAAAGGTACACAAGAAAAACATACATTTTATAATTAACACATATTAACACAGACTCACCTGGGCTACTTTTTCCCCCATATTCGGCGTGTGCATGGCTCCTTGGAAATATTTGGCAGAACCGTTGTCTTGAATGGAATACTGAAAACATTAAAGAGTACAATTTTAATCACAGAAATACTATTTACTTTCTTGAAAGAATCAAGAAACAATCATAAATCCGCATGCTTTGGTTGCTGATAAAAATATACAATACAATGTACGAGAGTTGTATGTTACTTGCCCAGTAAAGATTTAATTAACACTTAATGAAAAATGTTTTGTTATTTGGGCACAGCATTGTGTGGTAGAAATTTTTCTTTTATACACAAACTATTAGTAAACAGAGATTTGTATTTGGAGATATTTAAAGTGAGATGTTTAAAAAAACAAAAAACAAAAAAACATATGAAACTGAGTCGGAAAATAGGTCTATTACTGTTTTTGCATACACAACAGTTTCACGGAATCATCATCTTCATCTATAGCCTATCTAGTTAATAGGCTCGAAAACACGTTTACTTACCGTTAATGTAATTACGTTTTACAAGTAAATTACATTTTGCCATACTGCCCGGTTTGTTTAGGTTGCAACATTTGCAATGGCTACACAAAATTATAAACACAGTTTTACCCTCGATTTATGAACAACTAAAGTTAAGATTAGAACAAATACACACTTTATGAATCGCACTAGAAATCTTGTTGGAAAGATTTTACAAACAAAAAACTATTTTTTTTGTTGGTGTAATGCAATTACAACATAACACGGTAATTTTTTATGTAAGGTTACATTTTATTTTTATAATATGTTCTAAGTTATATACATATCCTTGGGTAATTTACAACGAAAACTTAAACAAACTTTAGGAATTGTAAACTAAAAAAAATTGTTTTTTAACATTTGCATTATTATAGTAAAATAACATGCATTAACGGGAAAACACTCACCCTGTCTTTTACATCCAAATAAAACAAATCGCCTTCAAAAAGATATTTTAAAAAGAGGTATTTTACGTTCATGACTAAAATAAAATTACTAATGATAAAGCAAATTTTAAATTGAGGTTGACCTGTCTGAGGATTTTCTACAAAAAAGTCTAGGGGGCTGTGTTATATTTTTATTTCTTTATGAAATCTAAGTTTTATGATCGACTAGGCCTAGAGGGTTATGGCCATTATCACATAACTAATGCCGTCGGTGATTGGCAAGATTTGAACCAGGGACTCTACCACTAGACACATGACCCTACCTTGTGCCGAAGTGTCTCGGCAGCGACATTGGACAATGAAGGGGCGTGGTCCCACAATGTTGAGGCCCGGTAATGTTGAAGGTCCGACTCCGACGAAGTGTTGGGGAAACGTTTGGCTACGTGGTTTCTGGTCGCTGAAACAAAGTTAACAGTTGGCTTTGAGTAAACGTGATCAAGCTTTTCTGCCTTCTTTCCAAATCAGTACATAGTAAGGAAATGCACCTAGATTCACTTCACAAAGATTAAACAAGTTTCAATACTTAGGTTTCCTTCTATTAGGTGTTTACAATAGCATTACAGAATTTATATCACTGCATGAGCATCGATGCACTACGAGAATATAATTTCCTAAAATATTATCATTGATATTTCACAGTAGGGCTATTATCACAGTACTGACTGAGAGTCGTAATCCTGAAAGTCGTTCAGCATTTGTGTTTCTTATTTTGACTTTAATACAGCTCTCTTTGTGGGTTTCTTAAGCTCTGGTTGTGCTTATAACCTTGTTAAGTGTATAGGCCTACCCCTTCGGTACTTAGTAGATAGGTATAGGAGGACAAGATCACATTGCAGGTCCCAAAGCGTCGTGAAAACTTTTTTGTACAGATTGTGATGATAAATGATCACAATAATCCACTAAGTGGTTAAATTGACAGTGGAGATTGATAACAACACTAATGCCCATTTATTGTTAACAACTCTTTACCTATTGTTGTAGATACATAAAAAGATAGATTCATCATAATTTAAAATGGGGATACAATGAGTGATTAAGTTTTGTCAATTTGTATAGTATTTTCTCAATTGGATTTTGGTATTTTATTTTTTCTACAAATATAATGTAAGGGTCGGCAGTAATAAATAATTTCTATAGCAATTTTGCAGTATCACAAGCTAGACGTTATTCCAATGAACAGTGTCAAAACTCCGTTCCTAGTTGGTTTGTTCGAACTGGTCCTTTTTAGTGAATTTACGCTTGTAATCTTTTTCAAAAAGAGTAACGCAAACACTTTCTAGTTTAGGTTTTAGGTTTTAGGTCTACATAAAGAACCCATTCCCATCCACTTGATCAACCTATTCCGTTTCAGAAAGAGTAAGCAAATATTGACTAAAATCAAAACACCACGCTTTCATTTTGAATTACATTTCATTTAAACGAACAATGAACAACCTTAGGCACCTAAATAAATATTAATACAGCCTACATTATTTAGCATCATAAAACATTATTTACAATGGAAATTAGGTAAATATTAGAAACATTCTATTGCAAGAATACAATTTAAACCTAAAATAGAAGGTACCATAAACTAAATATTTATAGTTTTCTAATTTACCAGTTAAACATAGGAAACGAAATGTTTCTACAATACACAATTTTATGTAACAACATAGCCCGATGTCGTACATTTTTATGAAGTCGAGTAAAGGCTGTACACAATAGCAATATTTACAGTATGAACCAATAAATGAACAAGAACACGGTTGGATGGCTGGCTGCCAATGGCTTACTTTGTTTATCCATTGTTTGCTAATATCGTCTACTTTGTTTGCAGTCGTTGCTTCCTTATGTTTACGTGTAATAACCGAACCAGTTTCTTGGGGCAGCTAACAAATTTCCATCTTGCTACTTATCGATTGGTTATTAGAACTTTAGAACTTTAACTTTTAGTTATTATTATGATAACTTTGAAGCCGAAACAATATTTTCTTTAAATATTTTCAATAACGTGATTAGACTCGTTGGATTTGTCTAGTCAGTAATTCATTGTCTATGAGATCTTATTTGGGCCATATAAAACCTTAGCTGATAATGTTGGTGTTCTGTAACCAGTAAGTTTGAGTGTGCTGATGTCGGCGAAATCTCTAGACTTAATCTACAGTGTGTTTTTCAGTTTACTAGAGGTCGTCCAGTGGTTGAAACTCGACCAAAAATATGTAATGTACAGAATTCTCTATTTTCACGCCTCACTGTAAATAAAACATGTGATTGGAGTTTCTTCCATTTGTTTTGATTTTATGTTTATATGTCGTTACACATAAGACACACATAAGATCCATGTTAATTTTTTCAAACTTTTAAACTCATTTTTTGCGCTTATTTTTGAGCCTATTTTAATTTATAAAGAGATTCTGCACATCTACAGGAAAATCTCTTTCCAACAGTATGCATAGATTTTCCCTGCGATGCACACGAGCTGAGAAAAAAGGTTTTAAAGAAACATGCTTGCCTATTTATATATAGATAGATACTTTACTCAATTATAATAACAGAAGGAAAGTAAGTTTTAAATTTTTAGAAATATATCATAAAGTTGATAAACAATTGATGAAACAAATATTAACCTTAAATATCACCTTAGTCTGCAAATAATAGACCGAGGCTACCTTCAAATTGTATTTGAAAGATCGATAAAGATAATATATCTTTGTATTAGAATATTCAATCAATGATATAAGATTAATGACTTTCAAACTAGAATACACAAATTTACCCTTGAAAAACGTATACCTGGTGAGGCTTTTAAACATAAGTAAGTTGTGTAATGGTATGTCATATGTTTTACCCTCCCACCCTCATTATAACAGAGAACAAGAAATGACTTATAAGGAGTCAGTTTTATTATTGCATTAAAATTACGTCAGTTATAATAAGTCATTACGTAAATAGGAAAAAAAAACAGTACAAAGGTAAACTGTACAGATAAAATTTATTGGCAGTGACCAGGATCCGAACCCACGACATCATTGCCAATGATTGTGATGCAACGATTCATTGTTCCAACCACTCATTCATTGTACAAACAATTAAATTGGCCTTAACAACTGATAAATTTGACTTTTGGATCATTACTATTATACTTCTTTTCTCTCAATTCTTGAACCTCATTGGTCCATACTTGTACTGTAAAGTAACAAACAATTTTAAGACCTGAATTGCCAAGGCTAGTTAAAAAACGGTTGTTAAGCTATAATACAAAACAGTGGTGTTATTCAGTGTTGGTGGTTAAAGTAGTTGTCTTGAGCTACGCAAATTTCAAGTTTCCACATCTAGAGTCGCGATGACGTAAGAGGTCTCGTAAACCTCACTTTGTGTTCAGTAATCCCTTCAACACACCTTGTGAGTGGGCTAAACGTGCTGCTTAGTCTCAACCAATTCGTACTACATTCAGTACTACATTCGTACTACATACAATACATGTAATACGCCAGTTTTAAGGCGTATATGTGATGAACTTTGTTTCAACGAATGTTAAATTTATATAATAGCAAAATGCGTAGAATTTTGATGTTGTTCTAAAAGATGCTATGATTCTAGAAATATATTGGAAAGATTGTCCAAGAAGGAAACCTTTTGCAAGAATATACACATCTTTGCTAACTTTCTTCCATTTTAATGTAATATGGTATACAAGAACAATACTATGTAGCACTGCTAAGTATTTCACGGAAGTCAAATTGTAGAACAATTTACTTTATTAATCTACTGTACTCTTTAGTCGTATCGAGTGAAATGTAAAAATATATATTAAATCCTATTAAAGATTTACAGTATAAACAAAACAAGCATAGAAAATTATTATTAAGGTTATTTGACTCGCTGCTTTTCCGTAGTAACTCTTATATTTTAGGATGAAAATACCTCCTTTCTTGAAACTTTATTTTAAGTGTAATACATTTCTAACTGAATAAAATCGTTAAAGGCAGCTCTAGAATCTAAAAAAATACACTATTTTATAATTTAAATTGATTGTTCCCAAGTGACATTTTCATCATTATAGGTAAAACAATGTGTACGTCGTATTTCTTTGAGTGGAAATATTTAGTAAAACATCGTATAGGCTGTTCTTGCTTGGTCTCTTTCGTTGCGAAGATTTCTTTCTCTTTTTCATCGGTTGACTATTGACAACATTATAAACTGATAATACTTCAATCTCAGATACTAAAGTATAAGTGATTTTAAACATTCTGGGATCAGATTGGAAGATTTTACTTCATTTAACATTATAGATTGTAAGCCAGGGGAAAATGAAATATGTACAAAAGGAAAGGACATCTACCTCTAATGGAGTATATACATAAATTATCTAATAAACTAGATCCGTCAGAATAAAACCAAGAACAATATCTTGTGTTACTTGACTAAAACAAACTACCAGAGGAAAATAGTAATGTCCGAAGAAATATATGAATCAGCTACATAGTTTTCTTTGTTTAGTGATTTCCACTTCACTCTTTTAAAAGAAACTTTCACGATTGGTGACATTTCAAAACTTTATTGACTAAGATTACAACTTGCTGGAATTACTGTTTTCGAATAGCTATGATCAGGAATGAGTGATCAGTGATCATAATGCTGAGTGTCATAATGATGTGCTTAAGGTCTAACATTGAATGACTTGAGTATGTGTTATGTTATGATATGAAATCAAGTAATGTATGATGTAGGCTACATATATTTTTTATTCTGGGCGCCTTGTTGATATGACAACATGTTGATATGATTATGTAATATCAGGTTAAAGGTGTACATCAAATCAAATGTATATATACCAGTAGAAAACTGAGCATTGCGAGTAAGTAATAGACTACAAGCAAACAATTCAATGGTATGACAGTTACAAACTTAAATGTGGGTTAGTGTTAGTGAAAACTTCAATAGAACAATAAATAAGTGGTTCCGAAAAAAAAACAAATTATAATATGTATTCCTGAAACACAAAAGCGGATACATCACTAGTGTTAACTGAGTATTGCGGAAAAAGATCAGCCAAATACAAAATCACACTCACTGATAAAAAGGCTCATTTGTCATAAATTAGAGCTTTATTTTCGTGGGAGTACTACAAAGAGAAAATTATAATTACCAGTCATTTCAATCAGCACATTGACAAGAGTTTCACTAATACTTAAAGATTTATTCATGATAAAATATATATTTTTTAAATCTATATGGGATGTGCCTCAAAATTGGTTTTAACAGTTGCCGTGCCAACTGTATTAGGTTATTATTATTTTGTGTAACAAAATTGCGAAAGTTGAACTTTGTGATTCGTTTAGTTGTATGTAATAAAATATTTAAAGTGAGATAAAAATACACGTGAACATTTTTAAAAGTGCTCGTTTTCATTGG